CCTGGTGTAAACGAACATATCTTTATTTGTAGTAAAAGTTGTTATTGGACTAATATCAACATCTAATTCCAACTGATGATAAGCATTTGTTAGGTCCAACCTCGAGAAGTACTTTGCAGTTCTTAATTTTGCCACAAGACTATCAAACGTCTGTAAATCACAATTTTTCATTCCGCTATCGGTATCTAAATCTTCTTCGGTTTCTACAAAATCTACTCTCTTAGGTTTGTTATATCCTGAATTTGATTTTTGCTCATACTTTTTACCTGATATAGGTGACAGCGAAGAGTCCTCGTAGTCCAGACTTATTGCATTTGGATCCCCTGGTTGAACAAAACTGAGGGAAAGTTTGATTGCTGTTTTGAATCGAAAACTTGATCCTAGCATTGCTGCTAAGTGCATAGCCCTTGACTGGTTACCTATTTGCTCACGGACTTGGTAAATCTGCATTATTGCATCCGGCGTGTGTTTTTTAAACTAATTTCAGCTGCTTCTTTCACAGTATTCCCAAAAGAACACAGCTTGTTAACGATTTTTTACATAAACGTTTAAAATTTTCATCTTGCCCACGTTTGAGGTTACTGAAGATATGCCGTTCAAATGTAAAATTCTGTTTGGGGGAGAAGAAACGTGTTAATTTTTTCACGAAAACATTATAAATATCGTTATTTTGTTCAAGGTCAGGGGTAACTTCTTTTAGTTGGGTTTCCCTTATTTGTAAAAGTTTTTTACGCAATCATGGCTATCTTTCGCTGCTAAGTATAATTCTAGAATCGCAACCATTTCTCCCATTTACCTCGTAACATCATTTTGTCCATATTTTGACAGCAAAATGGTCCTATTTCCGAGTCCGACATTGTAGATTTATAGGTGGTTTTTAGTACGTCTCTGTAAATTATTATTATATTTTTAATTTAGTATTTTCAAACCGCCGGCAGCCCTCGCAAAATCCGTGGTCACTCGGTAGTTTTAGATTTGTTATTTATTAGCTCAGAGCAAGTTAGTAGACGTGCGTTATTTAAAAAAGCAGGCAAATAAACTATGCCGCCTGAACAGGTGGCAGAGTGCCGCCCATCGGCGCTCCTTCCCTTTATCAACAAAACACTGAATAGCTATTTATTTATTTATTTAAGACTCACAATAATTCTGTGGCTCACAATACAAAACTTACTATGAGTCACATTTTGTGGCCCACATTCACCAAATTTTTTATGGTTCACATTAAGCTTTTCCTCGTGGCTCACAATTCACTGTGACTCACATTAAACTTTTTCTCTCACACAATTTTTTTTCTCGTAGATCACAATTCGCTGTGGCACAGACTAAACTTTTTCTCATGGCTCACAATTTTCCATTGCTCAGACAATGCCAAAAGAAAGCAACAATCTGCTGTCACTTTTCTATTAGCTTTTATATGTTTACTCTACTACAAATATATATTTTTATTTACCAAAGCAAGTACCGAATGAAAAAACAACTATATACTTACAATAGTTATCGCTAGCTATATCCTCGTCGCCAATTGTGCTGACCCAATTACACATAAAACCCATTTAACTTGATCTATTCATATATATGCTACAATATTCATCGATTAGAAAATAATAATTAATCCGTGGTATGCGCTGGCTGCCACACAGGGTAATAACACAAATGTTTTTAGTGTTTTTATTTTGACAACTAGTACCAGTTTAACCATAATATAATATTTTATTTTCTCTTAATGACATTATTTTTGAGTGGGTTAGTGAAACAAAGATTTTCTTTTCATTTTTCTGAAATATGTCGAGGTTAGAATACTTCACAGAGATCGTAAAATATTAAACTTTATATACATGTGCTCATTAGGTAGCTCCTGGAGCCAGCCTAACAGTTGTGGTCACGGATATCTAGCAACGATATATTTAGTATCAACAAAATACTTCAACCCGCCACTGTTCACCCTTTATTTGACTATTTCCTTCCTGGACTTTCCCACGATTTGATAACCAATGTCGAGGTCATAAAGCAATCCTCTTTCTCGTCGCAAAGCTTCTGTTTTATCTTGCCGTTTCCGTGCCGTATGCTTTTTACTGTCTCGTCGAGAGAGAGGTTCGAGATTTCAGTTAAACGCTCCCAGGATTTAAAATTTTATTTACGCCGTTTGCCGTGCGACTGGCTTTTCCAGTAACAATGTTTCGCAACGGACTTTTAAATGCATTTTTGTGTAACTGTATTCATTCTTCATCCTCTTACGGATGTAATAAGCCACAGTCGGAATAAGAAACGTTTCCCTGTCATACTTTGAGTAATAATGGCGACAACCAAAATAACCTCACGTCCATGCTCAATGCGTGTTCTCGGAGCGCGCTTCGCCCCTTTCTGAAAATTCAAGCTGCTATCCCATTTTCCCTTAAAAAATTCTCTAAAATATTAAAGCACGTATCGATTTTACACGTTTTCTGTTACACCTCCAGCAAAAAATGTGGCATAGTGTTCGGAAGTTGCTTACAAGTTTAAGTTTCTCTTCGACAGTTTTATTTATTGACAAAGTCGCCCATAAAATGAAGCGATTTTTCATATACCTTTTTGGGATTATTTTTATACTTCTTTTGTCCAAGACAGACCGCATAAGTCATTCATAAATTTCCTGTTGTGTTGGTGCCAATATAGGTGTTTAGTCAAGGGACGAATGGGGTGAAGAGTGTTCTCTAAATATGAAAAAATTCTATGATAATCACGTTACTTAAATTACTTTTAGAGATACTGTAAACCATATCCGATGCCTTGGAGCGTTCTTTGGAAATCTACAGTAGACAACACTAAGAACAAATACACAAAACAATAAAATAGGCTCAAATTCTTTACAAACTATTGGTGAATTTTGGCTCTCAGTCTTTGTAATATCAAAATAAAAACATTTCAAATAGTAACTTTTCTTACATAAAATAAACAAAATCCGACACAGTAGAAGAACGTAGCAGAAATCGAGGTTTAAAACATTGACCTGATTAAATAAAAATAATTTTTTTCTTAAGCTGGCATTGATTTTGCTCGAAATTCCTAATAATAATAATAAACTTCCGCGGACTACTGTAATACTATTCACAATTCTTCTGGATTCCTCCTGCGTCGGTTGGTGAACAAGTGAGCAAGTTCAATTCATCACTAAGCTACTCATGTGGAAACCAGAATAGCTTAAGTATTACTGCCTGTTGCCCAAAATACCTCTAATTTACCTCTCCACACAACTAGGATTCTAGCTCGGCTTAGACTATCGAATAATTATTTCACAAAAATTACGTATAAGGGTTTGGTCATATCAAGTCTACCTTTTATTGAATCACGTTTCAAAAATTTGAACTATTATTTCTAAACTTATTCCAACGTAAGTAAAGAATTTATTTTTTATTTTTAAAGTATTCATTTTTCAATTTTGATTAAATAATAAATTTTATACTAGTTCAGTGTATGCGATAAAAATGGAAAATCTTTTCTCAAGACATTTCTAATTATTCCGACCCTGCATCTCCTATGGTTTCCCATATCCCCATACAATCCCTCCCTTATAATGGATTCAGTGTATACCGATGGACCGAAAGTTGCTCTTTATTTATTGACACAGTCGTCCATAATCTGAAAGAGACTTTTTTTTATTTCTTTATATACATTTTTTTGGTAATATTTAGATACTCTATTTGTCTTACTTTTGTAACCGTATTAAAATAAAATAGCTTACAATTACCACTTTGATAGAAAATGTATTAACTGAGGGCCATTTCTATCTCAACGTATTCTACCGAAGGAGAAGATAACGAAGACAAGAAGAGTGTGTCTACGCAAAAACTTTTGCATGACGTAGCAAATTTTCTGCATGGTGTTATTCACTAACAATACGCATGCTCCAGTTATAGGCTTGTAGAGTTTGAGTAAGATATTTACTCTTTTTCAAATGGCCCTCAGTTAACAGTTTCAATTTTTCGAAAATGGGAAAAGGTACAAATTGCGTTCTCGTCTTCAGAAATCAAAAATATTCGGAATCGGGTCGCCTTTTAATTGCTTTTAATTGTAATAAAAAAGAGTCGCGAAAAATCGAGTCGAATAGCTTAATTTACACTTTTAAAATTGCTAATTATGTGACCCTTTTGAAACGACTTTGTCATTAAGTTAATATTCGCCATTTTGAAGCGACGATTCCCCTTTCGCCCCTCTTAATTAACTAATTGCTATTTCGCATCTCTATGGTTCGCTCGCCGTTTAGTGGAAGTTTTGGATATTTCCTCCCTTTGAAAGTTCGCCTATAACTTCAAAGTTGAATTGATGCCCGGCAAAGTTTATAATCTATTTCTGGGGGTTTTGATCGTTAAAGTTGATCTGACCATAGAAAGAGTAACTCCAAATAATAAAATACGACCGCTTTCGCGGCTTTGTGAGTTATGATCGCGTTAGTAGCCTCAAGAACAAAATTCTCAAACACTTCTTGCATATTCACGTCATTAGTAGTAAAGAAAACGGAGTTGCAAGACACATTTCGAAACATTTTATGCAGACTTTCGCGTGGCGCTACTGTTTTCCTTTAGAAAACATGCCCTTAATACTGTTTATATATATATATATATATATATATATATATATATATATATATATATATATATATATATATATATATATATATATATATATATATATATATATATGCTTGTTTGTTTTGTTATTGTCTTATCTGATAGTTTTGCAGGATAAGTATTAACCTCCAAATTGAAAACCTCTTGTGTTCGAGCACACGCGCCGATTTTTCACTTCTTAAGAATAAATTTCGAATGAGACGCCGCTGCTAATCCACTGAACTTTGTCTCCAGGAAAATTCGTCATTTAGTTACGCAATCTTGTAAATCAATAAGCAAAAAAAAACTAGAGAGACAAAGAAACATCAAATTTCGGGATTTAAAGAAACGCTACTGGGTGTCGTTTTTGCAATTTAAATGGACGAGATTGAGTTCAGTGGCATATTCTGATTGCAGAGCCACCGATGGCGATGATAACCCTCGTCAGGAGCGGCGGCGTCTGCTGGAAGTAGGGGTTTATTACGGGGTGTTAAGACGCAAAGCTAGCTCCCGATATAAACCCGAAAAAATAACAGCCTGGACCCCGGTCAAGTAAGACCACAACTCCTGTATTATCCTTGTTGTGGCCTTGTGACAGTGTTGTCGTGCGTATAGAGGGTTAGAAGGAAACTCTTTGTTTTGTTAGGATCGTATTGAAACCGACGGCGATTGAGAAAATTATAGCGATTGTTCTATCAATTTAACAATATTTAGAAAATTTAGTGGTTACTCGATTCATATTCTGTGTTGTTTCTATATTACAAACAGTGGGTGATGAGCTCTTGAGTGTTCAAAACTTAAAAAAAGAAATTTCCACTAAAATTATTTCACGGAGGACAAGGTTGTTGCTTTCTTCGTTGACTATTCTACTTTGAGAGATGAACTACTTTTGGAATTTAATTTGCGCTTTATTAACTTCCATCTACTTAATTTTTCATTTGTTTAAATACGTAGATGGATATTTTCATTTGCGGGTGATCCCGAAAGCGCTGAATATAAATATTGCCTAGACATAAACCTGAGGTTAAAATAGACCTCAAAATTAGTTGTAACCTTACATATTTGTGTTTATAATATGTTTCATGTACATATTCTACTAAATAATAATAACTTGTTTAAAAAGATTATAAGTTTCACTCCAAAAACGTTGTCTCTGCATCTAGTTCTATTTCAATAAGTAGTTTCATGATAGTCCCTTTCCAAACATTGCCATTATTGATACGTTTCATTTTTTTCAGGCAATTGATTATAATACTTAATATACACATAGTAAGGGCTTTTTTTAAAAGAGTTGAATTTCTTGTGTTATACAAGTGAAATTGTTCTTTAGTTTTATTCACAAACATTAAACATTGATAAATATCCAACGCGTACACTTTCATAATTCCCTTCACGTGACTCTGAATATTTTAATGTTTTTCGTTTTCTTACACACTTTTTGTGTCCCAGCGCTACTGCTCCATAATATGATACCTTATGAAGTATTATTGATGTTTTAGACATACAGAATTGATATGGTAGTTTCGTAAAAGTTTAATTAAAAGTTAGTTTATTTTGTTTTGTTCGAAAATAATTCCCCTGGTTTTATTTTTACTTAGTACAAATTTATTTCCATCCGATTATCAATTTCTTACTTTTTCTTGTATTTCTTGAAATGTGGAACCTGATATCAAAAGGTTGGTCTCATTTGCGTTATGAAGATATCAGAAATAGGGCCCAATATGCTACTTTGTGCAATACCAATATTATTTTCCCTAGTACAAGATTTCATTTCTTTATTATATATCCTAATTACTACCCTTTGTCTTCTCTCCGAGTGATTTCAAAGAGTTATTTATCATGAAAATTGAAATTGCAGACATGGATTTAATTGATAGTTTAACTACACTGATAGGAACCTCATATTCACCATTGCAATATTCATTTTTTACACTGAAACTGCATTACTGTCTTATTTTTTAGCAACTTTGTGACTATGTACACCAAATAATTATGATAATATTCTGCGAATTTTTGACAGTTTTTATTATTTCCGTTTATTTCAATACATATTGTCAACATACATTTATTCGTAATTATTATTGTATGGTCCTAAATTTTGATAAAAAAATATCTATAGTTTCAAAATATAAAGACATACATGCTAACTATTTTTCAAAATTAAAAATCGTTGAGTTTCAACCACATTCATATTTCATTGTTTTATGATTATATGTCAGCACACAATTATTGAACCGCATGAAAGTTGATTATATTAAAAAACAATCTTGTTGGTAATCATATATGATCATCCCGAATTTTTTACCCCAACTCGATTAAGAATAATCGCTATTATTTTCGAATAATCGAGGCCGCTGATCAATAGATGATCCTGTAGTGCGTTATTTCTGTGCAGCAATGTCAGCTCGTTCATTGATGTTATGTCTAGACGTTGTTATGTATGTTAGGAAAAACGGCGTCTTTTTGTTCTCTTTTGTTCTTTTGTTTTTCATGAATTTTGCGGGATTTCTGGTAGCATTTTGTCCTAAAGCTTTAATCGCGGATGATCGCTTTGAACGAATTATTGGCGATGTTGACGTTTCAGCATCGAAAAGGTTATCAAGAAATCTGCTTCGTTTTCTCAAAGTACAGCAGCTTTAATAGCCGTATTAAATGCGGCCATATAATCTGTGCATGATTTTCGGCTGACGGAAGTATGGCCGATTAAAATTTTCCCACTACTTCTTTACTTATAACGTGATCAATAAAAGTTGCTGTACGTACTAGTTGGTAAGTATTTTGACTGTACTGCGCGAATGTTACAACGTCACTAAGCACTGTCATGTACCCTTTGATGGTTAATCCCACCCACCGAATCCCAAAATGAAACACACAATTACTTGCTCCGTTAATTTGTATAATTTCGCTATGTTAAAGAAGTAGAAGCAAAATTACCTTCTAACTTCTTAAATTTTGCTGAAAATATCGAGCACGTTCTACCCGGCTGCTCGAAGAGCGTCTTGAGGAAAAATGGGGTGTACATTACATAGTTATGGGGTGAAAGTCACGGCTGTGTAAAGAATGAAAAAAGTTTTTAAGGCTTAGGGAAATTAAGTTAAATTTATAACGTATTTTATTTAAATTAATGCCCTTTCGGAGATAAACGAAGAAAAAACTAAAAAGCTGCAAATAAAGCAAGGGACGTGACCATAGGATAGGACCAAAGTTAAGAATTTATAGCCGTACGGAATTTTATGGTCGAAATTTTGTGCGTGTGCATTATACATTGAAATTCATAAAACACGAACTTTGTCCCCGTCGTCATTCCCCTAAACTGTCCAAGTTTCCCATGCGACAAACTACGCTAGCTCCCGTTTCGTACATCGATGTCGAATTTAGAGGGTACTCAGTGGTTTTGCACCAAAATCTAGATATTATGTCTCGCTGTCTATTGTTAATGTTAAGTACGGGCCAAAATATGTTGAGTTTTTCTCGAATCAAAATCACCTCAACATTTTCAACCTACGATATGGTTTACAACATAATTTGGTTCGACGCGTTAATGCGAAAAGTACTAAAATCACGCTTTCTCTTATCAGATCGCAAGCTGTTTGTGGGCATGCTCAGTAAGCAACAAACTGAAGAAGATGTACGGCAGTTATTTGCACCTTTTGGAACAATAGAGGAGTGTACCATATTGAGGGGGCCCGACGGATCAAGTAAAGGTAAATGTTTTTGATTATTTATATTAAATTTACTTATTTGATTTTGAGTTGAGCAGTCCTTATAAGGAATGCAGCTTTACTATAGGTCGCATTTTCTGTTTGTTTGCATCTAGGACAACTTTCAATATCAAAAGTCAGAATAAAAAACAGTGTTTTAGATAATTTAGTATAAGCAGCCCAAGTCATCTTCTTGTAAACAAAGTTTCCAAGATTCCAAGGTTTTAAACAGAAAAATTCCGAACTAGAATCTTAAAGACTTGAGAAGTTCATTTGTATTTTTAAATCGTGGGGTCAAATCAAAATCACGGTATTAACAGACTAACTTGTAAATCCACCTGTGTCAGTTTGGTCACGTTATTACCAAAGGCTGTTTCTAAAGGCTGTAGGCGTTCATTAAAAAAAAAATAAATTTAGTCGTTTCGTGGTCATTTATTAAATTTTAAGATCACTTAAGGAACTTATGAACTTCACAGAATTCTCACAATACAATACAAAAGGTTTAGCTACCTTATAAAATTTTCATTTTCACATCATGCAGGTTATGTCACAAAAGCTATAAGTCCAAAGTTGTGATATTTAAGTGCAATTCTGTAGTGAAAATAATGTAGCATTTTTAGATAGTGTGATCAGATATGTTTTATTATATTTAAACCTTAACATGTTTTTAATTATTTTAATTTCCACAACATATTCTAATTTTAATCTATAAAGTATTCAAAAATTAAGTTGGGTAAGTGAATTTACATTTAAATTGTAAATAACTGTTTATCATTTGCACTACAATTGTTTAGTTTGTTATTAAGAGCAATATCTGAAATATTTTTTTTGTTTAGAAAGTCCAGTGTTGTTGTACCCTACTTAAATATTTCCGTCAATACACCTTTCAATTAATTGTATACAGATTAGTTTGCAGCGTCTGATTTTGTTCTAGTACTAACTTTATTTTTATTTTTGTCATTAAAATCGTATATTCAATTATCTTATTTGATACGTAGGTTATTAGGAAAGCAAACTATATTAAAGCTGCTATTTCAAAAAAGTGGTGTACATTTTTGGACACCTTTTGTAGTTCAACTATAAGTTAACTTATCGAAAGTTTAAAACTGAACTAGGTAGCGTTTTTAAGTAGAATTAATTGGTTTAGTCGATTTTCTCCTAGTGAGTGGCTAGTGATAAGGAAAATGAAAGTTGAAGGTGTAGGTTTTGTATTTGAAATAGTCTCAACCTGAGTAAGCCACTGGATTCCATGTAAGAAACCCTCCCTCACACCACTTTTTACTTTTTCTATTAATTAACGCATAAACGAACTAGAAGTCTAGGAATGCAAATTTTAACCATGAATCTAAAAATCTAGGAATAGCTACAACATTTCAAATTAACTAACTTGTTTCATGCATATTAATTTCACACACCACCCTGCACTTCGCGTCCATCTTCTTCTACATTTCGATAACTATATAGTTAATTTGTTTTTTATTGTTGAATATTTAATTGGACATGGGCATATTTCGTGAAAACACTGGCACAGAATGAAACAGCCAAACTCAATAACTGTCGAATTCGCATGTCTAATGTCTGCGGCCGTCGTTTTTCGGAGGATTCTCAGGAAGTTGGATTACAAATATTTAAAGGAAATATTATTTGATTATCGAATAAGAAAGTTTTAGTAAGAAATATATCGCTAAACAAAGCAATTAAACAAAGAGAACAAGATGAGAGGACGAGAAGACAAGAACCTCCATTACTGGCTGTCTTTTTCTATTGTAAAATTTTCTGCCACGCCGTTGTCACTCAAGCGTACATCGAGTTCACTGTACACTGAATGTCCCTCTCCAACTTTTTTGATGTTGTTTTTAAATGTACCCATATTATCAGCATAGACTAGCACTCAATATGTCTAGTACATATTGTGTTCGTTATCGTTAGTGTTATTATTTAGCCCAAATAGGGTGCCAAAAATAAAATACAACGAAACTCGTTTACCTACGCCGAGCAAACGGTAATAATCTGCTACAGGCAATTTTTCGTAACTGCTAAAGTATATCTTTGCCCTCGCGCCTAGAGGCGTTAAATCATCAGCCGCGGCGCGAATATATATACGGATATTTAATATGTCTGAATGGCATTTAAATAAGTAATTTCTACTCCGCACACTCCGGGCCTAGAACAGACCAAAAATTTAATATAAGCACCCCTCAGAAAGACTAATTTGCATTTCGGAATGCGCTAACAACATCATACCCCGGGGCAAGTAGTTGGAAGCCTCCTCTTCCCTTCAGAAGGGATAGAACGTGAGGGAGGGATCGAGAAATCCCGTTGATATAAAGACGAGTTGGTAGCAGTGGTGGAACCGATAGTTTATCTAAGAAAAACGGCATCCACCCATAAAGAAATTAAGTTACCACGCGTTGTTGTATTGTGTCATTAATAAGGATGTCGCCTAAAAAAAAGCACAAACACAAAAGACAATTATGCCGTCTCATATGCTCGTGAAAAAATGAAAACGTTAAAAACAAACGCTTAGCGACAAACAAGAGGGCCTTAACTAATAACTCGTCGCTTGTTGCAAGAACATTTTCCTTTTAGGCCCTTAAAACGCAATATGAAACCCAAATAGCGTGTTACAGCTTTCACCCTTCACTAATTAGGAAGAACAACGCGCTCGGTTTGGTAATGAAGGAAATCGACAGAGACGTAATCAGCTCTCAAATACGTATTCGTTGCTATAACAACCAAAAAATATATTTTGACAGAAGTAGGGTAAATTTTGTTTTTTCACGGTGTTTCAGAATTCAATACAAACACTTTAAGTTGAATTAAGAATAATTCTGTATTGTCAGAAAGGCAAGTGTTCTAAATTTCTTCGTTACAAAAATACGTTGTCAAAGTTTGTACAAAATTCAGTTTTACGTAAATTTCTCAAAGACCTTTTATTTAATTTTTTGACACAACTTGAAACGCTTATTTGTAGTTTTAATGGTTTTACTGTTGTGTTACTCAAAATAAAATTATTCACTTCAGTATTTGAATTTATAGGTAAAAATCATTGTTTCTTCCGTTTTTTGTATCTTGCTCCATCTTCGAGGTAGAATTTAAAAATCGTTGATCTTGCAAGTTCCTGGGAGAAGAAATTTATTTTTTATTAATTTTATTATTTATCCTAGTTAGAAAGTAATCATTTATTTTGGATAATTAATAAAAAAACAATGTTTCTCTAAAAATTTGACACCTTGTATATTGAAAACAAAACAAGTTGGGACACAAACACACATAAACCTTAAAAACTTTATGTTTAATTATACCCCGTGTAATGAATTCTATACATCACTAATTATATAGAAGTTAGTTCCTAAGCTAAGATTCCTTTTCATTTGTTTGTTTGTTGCTAATACATATTGCCAAATTTCAACAAAATTGAATTTTTTTTTTGAATTTTATGTTTCAGTTTATCAATCGCGACCTTGACCATGAAATAAGGAGCTTAAAAATAACTTTCAGGAATTTCTCGTATTCATATTTAAGTCCTATTTTTTTATTCTTCTAAAAACGTCCAAAAGCTAGAATTAGGACCGTCTTTTTCCACCTTGGTTATCCAATTTTCAAGGTACGGCGCTGGCAGCCACTAAAAACCGGCTCAAACGGAATTCCATCTCCGTCTCCCGGCACACGGGCGTAGGGATAATAATTTTATTACGTTTTCTATCAAACCGAAATTTGTAATCAAAATATATGATGTTTGTTTTAGGAAGCTTCGTTAGCCCTCATTGTATCCTTTTTACCGATATGCGAGTATACACGTACACAGATTCGAACAAACAACTATGGAAAATGCCATGAGTTTTCTAATATATTCCTAATCTTTTAAATGATCTCTAAAAAACTGGTATTTCACAAACATATTTTCTTTAGACTCGCCGAGCTTTTGCAGTGGATTTCTTGTAAAAATGAAACTATAAGAAATGGCTCAAGAGGCATGCAACTTCATCAGATTTGAAACATAATTATTTTAGCAGCTGTTTAAATAAGGCTCGATAACATTTTATAGCTTGTCCTAAGCCATTCAAATTCCTATCCAACACCTGATTCTCCTTTCCCCTTTTATTTTGCTTATTTCTGTAGTTCCTTGCAGCACCTCCGTTCCATTGAAGTGAATAATTATAAAACTGTATTTGAGTTTTTTCAAGTTAATGTTGTGAATAGGGTGGTTAGGTGAGTAGCTTTGCTAGATCTCGACACCCTCCTATCTTATCCTGTTTTATTTCTTGTTGTTTATAGATATATAAGTAAATAAAATAAATTATTATTATTACTATTATAGTTATAGTACCATGACTGATGTCCTTTCAGACAAGCGAAGTGTCAAATATACCATAAATAGCTATTTCCTAAGCCCTCGGGAGTGCGCAAAGCCTCACTTTAAGACGTCACACAGTGGTTGGTTTATCAATTTTCAATTAGGTACCGTTAAAACTCATACAAATATTGCTACTGTTCTACCTTCATATTAAAACATCAACTCCCTGTTGTAGTAAACAAATAACAATTTGTTTTTGAACATATTTGGGTCAACCCTAAAATTATATAAAGTTTAGGAATGTAATAATAAAGGAGGCCCCTGGCTTTTTAGGTCCCATCAATAATACGTATTTGTTGTAACTCATACTTTGCTAAATTGAAATATACACGAATGTTGACATATTATGACCATGTTATTTCAAGTATTACTCTTAAACTAAGCTTGACTGCTGGCGCCTGGTTAATTTATTAATATTCTGTTATTAATTAACTATAATTTAAATAAAATTAACTCAAATAAGAACAATTACTCAATATTATAAAAGTAATAATTTTGTAAGCTTCTTCCAATTAAGCGGTCGATATTTAGTGAACTGATGAACCTATCCTTTTGGTAGTGTTTTTCTATAAACTTCGGGAGTTTCCAAAACGATTCTACAGTACTCTCGGAGTACCTGAATTGAGGCGGAATATTCGGTAAATAA